AAATGTCTGCATCTTTATTCCACTGGCACTGTCTATTACTCTGAAGTGTGTACAGGAACAAAGAAACAATTCAGAAAGGACCCTGTTTGCAATGCACCATCTTCTCCCTAGAATTCCCCAGGATTGCCTTACCTTGGTGATGTGTGTGGTTGTGGTTGTCGACACGGAATCAGATGTGATGGTTTGTGCGGTCAGTAACGTGCCCGAGTCACCAGAAGCCCCGCCATCAATCTGTGGATAGTTGGGGGGGAAATACAAAGCAATGCTTAACTTCCATTATGTCGTCAGAGAAAGCCCCTTCCCATCGAACATGCATCTTTTAAAATCTTTGCAGTTGGCAGAAGATGCTATCTGCCTTTTCATGTTTATAGTGGTAATTTACTGACCAGGATGGCTGGCATTTAATCAGAGTAAAATCAAAGTCTAAATGCACCATGGAGAAGCAAACCCCGGACACACTAGGAGAGAGAAAAAAGGAAGGCTGGAAGTAGGAGGTAGGACTGAAAGCTATCAGGAGTCATGAGAGAATTTGACTGAAGGCCATTTATAGTAGCTTGAAAAAGAAACCAGATTACTAGGCAGAGAAGTTTCCACAGTGACCAGAAGTGCTGGTTTTGTTGTTTAAAAGCACAGGTTAAACAAACGTAAAAATAAACATTTTCTCAGATTACTAAGCAACAGAACCTAACTAGGATAGAGTAACTAACATGATTTAGTTATTTGCTTTCTTTAGATTTTTAAATGACATTTTTCCTATAAGTTTGTATGTTGTGAGCATATATATGAAGATACATATTTCAATAAGTATGCATGCATGTGCTCTCTTTATATACATATATCTCATATATAAGTCCCATGCAGATATCTAAATAGGTTTTAACTTGTTTGCTTTGATACTAGAAAAGGTAGAAAGTTCTCGAGTTTACTGGCAGAAATAAAGCAAATTAATAATTTTAGTTTACATTAAGATCATAAACTAAATGTTAAGATCAGCATATATATTTGCTTCCTGTTTCCTGACACAGGGAAATAACCAGAAGGCCCAGAGCCTTTCTTACTGTAAGTTAAGAGGAAATCTCTCCCGAACTTGGTTCATGCAATGTATTTCTTTACATAGAAGCATATGATTACCTGCTCTCCCACCACACCCGCTCACCAAAAACCTGTCTGTGCTCATGAGGGATCTATGCACATTTAAGACAGCATATCTAAAATAATTTTGAGGAATTTTCACACATATACACATTAAATGTTTTAAAAAAATACTTCGAGGGTAAAATCTGCCATCTTTCACCATGGTATAATCCTACTATGAACACTAAATTTCTCAGCAGAGAAAAGAGTTGTACAAATTTCAAAATAGTTCCATTTTGGAATGATAAATACTTTCTCTTTTTCTGTTACCCTTAAAGTTAGTTATCTTAATGCTTATTTAAAATATTTACAGAATCAATGTCTGAATACATAAAATCAAACACACAAATTTGATTATTTAGACACAGTATCACATTTACACAAGAATGATGAAATTAAGTCTTCAGAAAATAATCTCACGTGAAGGAGAAGCAGAAATGTGTGCACATGTGTGTATACTTGCAAGTAAGAGTGAGCTGACTGCATCTGTCTTCATGGGGGGGGAGAAGGGGATGCCCAAATCCTACTAATCCACAAATTGTTATCATATCTGATAAACTCTGTAAGATGGTCTGTTTCCCAAGTGTACATAAACAATCCTGGACACTTTAAGCCAGAAATGGCTTATGATAATATGAACAAGATTGGTATCGCCCATCTTCAATAATCATGTGTATGCTCCTCCCTATAATTATTGGGTCACCAATTTGATTACAGTTCTATGTCTCAATCTCAGAAGCAACATAACAAGTTATGTTGTTGAAGTACAATTATGAATGGAGATGTAAAAAAGCTACATCAAAGTCAGAAACATGTAAACTAGAAGACAGAATGGAAGAGAAACAGACTAAGTAAAAGAGAACTCAGTCCGAATCTAGGGCTTTTGTACCTGTGGAGACTCGTATGTGATGGTTTTGGTCTCCGTTTGGACAATAGGGACTTCCTTGGTGGAGATTTCTGTCCTTTGTGAGGCACCAGAAATTGTTACCATCTCTGTCTTTACCACGGGTGGCTGAGGTGGGAAGGAAGGGAAACATAAATTCTAGAGGTAATGAAGTAAAAGTACTTAATGGAGCCTTCACAAATAATTGTAAGAAATATATTTATCCAAACACACACTCATGCATAAAAGAAGAGAGTAAAAGTGAATAATCTAAAACAAAAGGCACAAAGGAAAAACACTTCCTTCAAGTATCATAAATATATACATACATTATATGTATGTGTATATATACATGAATAAACTAGCATAACGGCCCCATAAATTATGATACATTTCAGATTATGATGGTCCAAAGTTACTTACGTGTCAAGCTGGTATACAGTGATATATATATATAAACTTTAGCTTTGGGCAAGTAATGATAAATTTGAAAAGAAAAAACAGAATAAACTACGTGAAGTGACCTGCCTTGATTTTCACTGCAGCTTAAAGAACCACCTGGTTTGTGTGAAGGCCCATTGCCTTTAATTGGTGCACCATCTAGGTAGGCTAAGATTTGCTCTTTAAAAAGGCTTTTCTGCCCTGTTGACAAGGAGATTCCATTTTCAGAAGGATTATCTTCAAGTATTATTGTTTTCAATTACACTTGTCTAAAATTCGCAGGGTTTCTTCTGTACTATATAAATTAAATTGTTACATCCAGGATTAGTCCACCGACGCTGCATTAATGCTTTGAACAATTAAAACCATGAAAGGAGAGGTTCACTGCCCATTACCATTGTGGTCTGCTGAGCATGTATGTTTAGTACAACGCCAGACTACATACTACCACCAAAATACTACAGTACTTTCAGAGAAAATTCCCAAGTGTGATGTATGGTAAATGTGGAAAATACTAGTTCAGAGCATTCCATGACTCTTGCAAACGTGTTCTCTGAAGAGAGCCAGGAAGTTTAAAAGTGACATAATAAAAATCCATTTAATTATTTCAAGACAAAGTCATTTCAAGATTTTTCAACTCATCAAAGAGAGCAAATATGGATTATCCCTACACTGTGGGCAGTTCATTTTAGAATGAAGACACATTCACCTGGAAGGAAGCCTTCCCTCAACAAAACTTTTACTTCCCATTCAGAGACACTGCACCTAGAGACCAAGACTAATCCAAGAGGGGTGAGGAAAGTTCTTTTTGAAGAGAAAAAAGACTGAGCTGCAATGGAGATAATCCACAGAACATATGATCAACGTGCGAATAATCCAGAATTAATGACAGGACAGAATGAGAAGAGTAATCTACTAAAGTCTAGCCTCTGGCTGCCTAAAAGATAAAGCTTTAACCAAATGATACAGTCCCTGGAACCTAAAAACAGGAATCACAGTGCTGCTCAAGAAATACTGTTTTCATCACTGCCACACGTTGAATTCGGAGCACCCTGGTCATCAGAGCCTGCTGCTATTTCTAAACCTCTCACGTTGAAGAGACAAGGAGCCAAAACGTGAAACCCAGTCACAACAGCAGCACACACTCTCACACTGACCATTTTTCAATAATACTTATACAATTTCCTAATTGAACCAACGAAAAAGGCATTAAGTATGAGGAAGCAGTGCAACTAAAGGCAAAAAGCTGAAAGCATCCAAAACATGCAAAGAAAAATGTAGATGTGCAACAAGAATGAACCGGTGATGCGGTGGCCGCAGGCAAGGCCACCGGATGGGGTGACCGAGCGGCGGTCCAGCAGCGAGCAGCCTTGACCAGGCTGGCGGGAGACACCGAGCAGGGCTCTCCCCTTCCTCCCGCGAGGTCAAGGTCAGACTCTTGCTGAAAAGGCTGAGGGAGGACGGGGAGGACAGGAGAAGAAGAAAAGGCAGGTGCTCTCCACCTGAGAAACAGCTTGAGTTCAGCTCCCGCTCGAGTCTCCCATTTACCTCTGAACAACAAATAATTTGTGGCAAAACATCAATGTCAACATGGGACACCTCTCCGTTAACTCTGTGCCGCTCGTCCTCCGCGTCTTCGCTCCCGTCTTGCTGGAGAGCGCCCTTCTCCGCAGGCGTCTTTGGGGCGGCCGCGAGCTCCGGCGTCGCC